TCAAGAGGATTTTTGTTTCTTAAAGTACCACTACATCAACGAATCATTACTGTATCACCGATCGTTTACTGAGTCTGTGCTCCATATCCACGAATACCCTCTGCAAATCCCCAGACTGTCTTCGCCTCTAATGGATCTGAGATGGTCACTCCTTCGCTGGTAACCTTTGCTATTTGATACTGTTACGAGGAATCAGGGTTAGAGACATCGCTGCACTGATGAGACCATCAACTGACCTTATTCAAACTTCGTGCATCACGGTAAAAGAGTGCCTTCATGCAGTCTTGTAACACAGCGACAGCCTCATTCTCTGAGAGAGGCTCCGAGCGAGTGTCTACGGCATTCCTCAAGAGTGGCTGAGCGATGTATGCGCCGAATCCGGTAGCGATTGTTGGTGACTGATAGGTTGTGCCTAAAAGATCCACATAGCCGAGGAAGCTGCAAATTGGGCTGTCATCGAGCGTTCACGCGCGGGCAATGAGTGTGCTAACCCTTCACCATTAGGCTTTACGCCGCCTACCACCAGTGCATTCCATAGGGGATTCATCTTTGATCGACGACCGTACATAACCTTTGAAAGGTAGTTGTAGATTTCTGTAGGTCCTAGCTTGTTACCGTCGTCGTATGTGAACTCTTCGATGCTATGGATCACGTTAGGTAGTTGCCATGGAAAAGAATGGTATTTACTTACACAAGACTATCGAGCATGTGTTGAATATGTTGGAAATCACTCATGTCTCCACCAGCACCGATGATGGTCGAGTGGCCGACTGGGTGAAGACGTTGTACGTCCTTGTAGCGAGCCATCGATCCATAGGAGGCTGGACAGTGTATAAGGAACAGTTTAACTCCCGATATGATATAGGCGTACCCAAATTGTCTGCCGCCAGCATCACACCATCACAATATTTTAGACCGATGACACTAGTACCAGTGACAATGGGTTGTCTAACAAGATCTCAGTATCTCCATTCCATTTTCTAAACGGATGTATATTACTGTGTGCGTTGGACCCCGTCTGCAAACACATCCTTGGAAGGGTGAGGGCGTGCGTGTATCGGGAACGTCCCATAAGGGTCCACACGATCGTCGCGCTGAGTAAAGCCATGTCAGCTTTCAATCTAATGCTTCTATTGATGTGAACTAACGGGTCTTCCCCAGTTTGTCGGATGATGGTCCATGGCGAGTAGGGTGCAAATTGTATTCACGACGCGCAAGCAATCGCGAACCACTCTACGACCTTGGCCACCACCACCCTGGCTCCTTCGGTTCGTACCGTTGGGGTGAACAGTCAACATGTGGACACTCATTTGCCCGTATTTTGGCGTCAATGATTCCGGAGCTCAACGTAATTATTCCTTCTTCGACCTTATGGCGCATAAAAGGCACGAATTAAACCCATGTTTTTGGTTTTGTGAACAGAATCCAAACTTCTCAAGACTAGCGAGGACTACACTATAGGAAGAAATGGCTGTAATATAAACATATCTGAGAAATGGATGTCGCGGCAGCTAGGAAGATTCATCGTCGGACAACACAATGAAGCCGATGTGGTGCGTTCTCCGTGGAGTAGGTTGTGGCAAAGGTGTACTGACAAGGTGGACTATCGGCAAAGCTTAATATGGACAAGGTTCCTCCTTTGGAATACATTGGTAATAAGGCTTTCCAGATACTCCGTGTTGGCGAAGACAAGCCCCTAGAGATTGTTGCGGGAGGAACTGCTCTACTTAGACATGGAGACCACCTTATTCTGAACAGCAAGATGCGCTTGAGCCCAATCAGGTACGAGTCTTGGCATTTTGTACTGTTGTTCGCTGATTCAACGAGAGACAGGCCGTTGTGGACTGATATTGTCTGCTTTGTAGAGGATATTCAGGTCATAAAGCCCAAAGATTGCGCTGTCTTGGGTAAGTCAAATGGCTCCTAGAAAGAGTATTAATTGAGAATGTGAAGGTATAAAGATGTGTGTCGAGTACCATCCCAAGATCAATCGCTATATCACAGAGCAAATCACGGGCGAGCCGAATCAGTTACCTATACTTCTGCGTGGTGGTAGTATAGTGAGAAAGGAATGGGCCCAAGAACTATTCCGCCGCTTATACTTGCCACCAGATTTACCATCCACCGATGTGGTCAGCCTAGAAGATAACTGCCTGCAGCCAGCTTTAGAAGATTATCTACCCTCCTTCTCTCCTAATCTCAAGCAGGAATATTGTCAAAATAGCATCTGGAGGGAAAATACTGACCGAAAAGGCATGTTAAAGAATCTCAAATTCATATTTCTTGTCGAAGGCGCAGCTCTGGCAACAGTCTGGAAGAATATCGTAGATGCTGGCGAGGGTACCTACGAAACTTTTGATATTCATAAAGGAGTGGTCAAATGGATAACATATATAACACAACTACGAGGAAAGGCGACAGAAGAAAGCTTTGGTATCGTCCTGGTTGCAAATGAAGAGAAATCACATGCAGCAGTTGGAGGTCAAGGTTGGAAGGCGTTTATTCAAGACACTCTAAGGTATGAAAAATGCTGGAGTTGATATATCCCTGATTTCGCTCTAGAGCCGGGCTGCAATTCACCTCTTATACGAAAATCACCGAGGCAGTACTTTTGGTTCAGAAAGACTTGCTCAAAAGTGATGCACACTCCACAAATGGTTAGCTAATTATCTATCAATGCGAATAGAAAGTCAACTGAATGCATGTCCATCTCAACTTCCAGAGATTATACCTAGTTTGTTACCGAATGAAGAGCCGTCTATGGAAGCATCACAAGGAAGACGCGGCACTACGAGGCGAACGAAGAAACAGCCGACACCAGTACCAGAACCTGTCAATCCGCAAGAGGATGAGGCGCTGTTACCTGAGGATGAGCCTGTTCCTGGTAGGAATAGAGTGAGTGCCCTTTATCACCAGATCCCTACCGTCCTAACCTGGAATTAGATCCTAAAGAGGAGAGTACGGCAACCATCCGTCGAACCTCAGAATGACTCCCAGTTTACTACTTCCGCGGCCCCAACTTCTGCCCTAAGTGACAGAGCTCTTTCTCCACCTGTCCAGCAACCAGCAACAATTGATCGTACCAAATTGAGGAGGAGAAACCCAACTCAGAGGTCCCAAGCAGTTGAAAGCGAAACTCAATCCACTTTAACTTTAGAGAGACACCGTAAACATTTTGAAGAGACGGACCCGGAGCGTCACTTCCTATCTCAAGAACAGGATGGCGTACGGACGAGAGCCTCTAGTGTTACAAGGTCGTTGGTGGATATGGTGGAGCAGGCTGACCTGGAACGCACCAAGGCACTAGAAACGGGAATTTCTTCTAGGAAACGGAAAGCCGGAGCCACCCAAGGTGAAGGTCAAGATATCACATCAGAAAACGGCTCTCTTGGAGAGCCAAAAGAGCCACCTGCAAAGAAGAGGATGATAGATCGTACGGAAAAACCTGCATTAGAAGCTTTACCTGAAGCTGAAGAAGAAGAAGAGCCTCCACCGGAGATACCAAAAGTCAAACCAAAGAAAAAGAAAGAAGTTGCTGTAGTGGATAGTGATGAAAAGTATCTCACAGCATTAGCAACCTGGAAGAAGGGTAGGAAAAAGGAGGACCAATTTGATCGCGAATTCAACAATCTGAAGATTGCCAAACCAGACCGCCTTGTTGAATTAGACGTGGAGATGGAGGCTTGGCAAATGATGCCAAAAGATATGGATGTTCGGGGTAACTTCATGGTTTGTATAGCAAACGTTGAAGTTCGACAAGATACTCGACCTACAACCCGGAAGGACGGAAATGCTGAGTGGATAGGCAAGCCAGACTCAGTAAACGATCGGTGATACAGTAATGATTCGTTGATGTAGTGGTACTTTAAGAAACAAAAATCCTCTTGA